GCGTTATTTGCTCGTTGAGTTTGACGGGTAAGATCCTTCGCAGACTAGTCCAACCGAGCAAGAGCTCGGTCATAACGGAGGGCTGCTGAGCTCGGTCATAACGAAGGGCTGCTAAGCTCGGTCATAACGGTGCTCGGTTCAGAGCACTACATGTCTCGAAAGTAATACGGTCGTAGGAAGATAGGGCAACACCGTGTTGTCCGTTCGTGCCAACGCCGTTTGGCGGTTTTGTTAGGTGGTGTTTAGCTGTATTTCCGTTGACATGTGGGAAAGTGGGATAAGAGAGCAGGTCTACGCGTCAAAAGGCGAATGGACGAAGAGGCACACGCAGAAGGTATATAAACATGACTGCGCCCCCCATGTTGGGCATGGAACATCCCCTGGTGAGAGAAACACTAACACATTGTCTCTCCTCTCTTCTCTCTTTCTCTCTCTCTCTCTCTCTCTCTCTCTCTCTAAGTGTGTGCTAACTTGACCGTTGGAGGAGTTTTCCGGCAATGCACCGCCGTGTAGCTCACATTTGTTGTGTTCGCAGGTCGATTGGAGGAAGGCGCAGCTTGGACACGAGGAGTACGAATAACGTCGGATATTTGGCCCCCGTACATATATAATGCATTTTTCCTTATTCTGTCCCTTTCCGTTTCCGTTTGTCTCCCTTTCTAGTGGAAAAATGTTTTACCTATTTTCTGACATTCAGTACCAAAAAAATAAATAAATAAATAAATTAAAGTGAACAAAAAATAATTTCCATGGTAATGAAAAAACAAGTTTTTTTCTAAGTAGAAAGAAGATTTTGTTTTCCTTCTAAATGTGGAAAATATTTTCTAAACTAGAGCCTTAACACACCACCCTACTGCCACCACTATCACCAGCTCATCAGTTTCAAGGCTGCAACTAATCACAAAAATCATTTAATGTGGAAGACGTTTTTTGAAAAATATTTCACATGGAAAGTGTTTTCTGCTAAAACAAATAGTGCATAAGTTCAAAACATCTCAAAAATAATTAGGATAAATTTCCACATAAATCTGGATTTTAATTTGAAAGACCAAGTTCAAAGCAGTAGCATTTCCTAGGTTAAAGATGAATATTGCCAATTGAAGATGATTGATAATCCGTGGCCCATACAGGAAATTACACTTTTGTCGATTAAAAATTTAGTCAGTAAAAGTCTATTTTAATCGGCAAAAATTTTTCGCGACTAATTTTTTTGGTCGCCACTTTGGTCACCAAATGAGAATTGGGAAAAGTAATTAGCGACTAAAAAATTTTTAGTCGGGAAAAAATACTATTTGTCGACTAAATTTTTGGTTACTGAATGTTACATTACCACGACTAAACCATTTTGTTGCTAAAACACTTTAGTCGCCAAAAGTGATATTTTCCCTGATTAAATATGTTAGTCGTCAATTGTCACATTCCCCAACCAAAATTGTTAGTCACCAAAAGTAATGTTTGCACGACTAAAACTTTAGTCGGCAATAGACCTATTCGCAACCAAACACTTTGGTTGCCAAAATTAATAATTTTACCAATTAATTATTTAGTCTCTAATCTCCAAATGTACCCTTTCACCTACCAACATTTTGGTTGCCAAATGTGAATGGTGAAACACCGACTAATCACTTGGTCGCCAAAAGAAGAAAAACCAAACCAAATTTTGGTCGTCAATTCAATTCTTTTTGTTTGTCAAAATATAAATAAAATATAAAAAGAATTCCATTTGACCTGTATGATATATAATAATTCATCCAAACCATTCAATATAACCTGTAATTTGCAAGAATCATTCAAACCAATAAAAAAAACTGAATTATGAACAATCAACAAAATACATAAATTAGCCAAAAACGAACATGTTTAATAAAAATCATCAACTATTATAAGTTTTCATCCACAAGTAATTCCAAACTACATAATCGTCCAATTAAATAGGTCATTTAATCTATATAATCATCCAATTCACATCCATCTAGTATAAAAATTAAAACATAACAAGTCGTTATGATGTTTTAAATTTTTATCCATATACATCTATCCAAAAATATAACTAGTAGTCTATCGAAATATTTTTCACACACACCTATCAAAAAATATATAATCCTTCAAAAAATATAATAAGTGTCAACTAATCCGGTACAATTCAGCTTCGTGCACGAGTTCATCTGTACAAAAGTAAAACAAAAATAATCAGTGTGTTTGGTTTGAGTTTTCTAGATTAAGTTTTTTGAAAACTAAGTTTTTTGATTTTCGTATTCTTTTGTTTTTAGTGAATATTTTTTAAATTTTAAACATTTTTTTTTACTTTTTTAGATGCACTTTAGTTAGATGTATCTAAAAAATAAAAAAATTATGAAAAAATATTTTAAAAAATTAATAAATACATAGAAATACAAAAAATGTACTGAATTCTTGTATTTTTTTTGTATTTTTGGTATTTAGTGAATTTTTAAAAGATTTTTTTTACAATTTTTTTACCTTTTAGGTGTATTTATGTTAGCTGTGTCTAAAAAGTAAAAAAAATTGCTTAAAATATTAAAAAAATTCAGTAAAAACAAAAAACACGAAAAATAAAAAAAGTAGAATTTTCTAAAAAGTGTTTTCTGAAAAGAGAAAACACGCAAGCTGTCAGGTAAGTTTTTTATGAAAATATTTTCACATCACTCGGATCGTAAAATTGGACAAAAATTGAAACTAGTCCATGAAAAGTAAAGATGACATAAACAAATTAAAGGACTATCAACACCATTTTGTAAATAAAACAACATTCATATATATACATCCAATCAACATTAAAATTTTATCAATATCAATGCACCACACTCGGAAAAATTCTACAAGTAATAGATGTATGACCCGCAGATTAAATTCTATCAATATAATAATTCTAACAATTGAAATAGATGTTATCAATCAATGCTTGCATTTGGATTTTATACCTCATATTGCAATAACTAGACAGCATATATACTTGAATATTTGATCTAGCAAGTTAGCTACTATGACCTGCAGGCAAGGTTTTGAAAAGCAATTGCGGTCGCCGTAATGGTGGCGGTGACGCGATTGCGGTTGCGGGATGTAAAGGCCGTAACATAATGGTTACGGTAACCGGAACCGTGAATTTTTTTATTTTCGCACAATTTGAAAAAAACTTACCGATATGCATATTTTTTTTCCATGATCATATTTATTGAGTTTAAAATAAATATTGATCAATTTTTGTAAATTTTTAAGTATGATCCAATATATTTCATATTTTAAAATCACTATAAACTGAGTTTTTTACATTTTATTTTAATAATTAATGATTTTATATTATACAAAAAATCAATCACTAACTATTATATATAAGATAAACAATGACAGAAGTAAGAGAATAAATAAAAACCTAAATATATATATATATACATATTTTAACCAAGTTAAATAGATAATGACCACACTTATTATTATTATTATTATTATTATTATTATTAAACAATATATAGATAGACACACACAAACAAAATAGTTGAGTGATAGCAGCTGAATAGAATAGCATAGGTCTTACAGTTTCAAAAAATCAATAACATGTTCTTCATCTACTCTCTTCTCTCTCTCTATCTCTTGCTCCTCCATCTTCTCTTTTTATCTTCCCTCTTCTCTCTATCCCTCTTTCCCCATTTTTAACTTTTTTTTTGTGTTTTTTTGAAAGAAGTAGTTCGGAACGGTTACGTAATGGTGCGTAACGACTATTATGGCACCGTTACGACCACTACGGCCGACACACCTGTGAATCTCAATCACACTGCAAAAGTGGCCATAACGGGTGGCGGTAACCACCACAACCGTTACGTAACGGCGTTACATAACGGTTGTGGCCGCTTTTTAAAACCTTGCCTGCAGGTTACACCACTTGTTTTTGTCTAAATCTCTAACCGTGCGTACTATCAATGCGCTACTTGCTCTCACAAGTTTGTTTAATCTAAGGCAAGATGACTATTATGATCTTGGTGCTGGTTAGGGGCTGTTTCCAATTTTCGCCCCCAAACGGTCCGTTTTCTCCTTTTTCTCACCTTTTTGTGTCAAAAGGCCACTATTTTTCTCACTTCACACCATTTGTTCCATGATATATTAATCATGAAAAAAAAAATGCATGATGATGTCATGATGATATACTAATCACCTCCATTCTTCCTCTAATCTACTGTAGAGTTGAGCTCAATTAACTCTTGGGCTGTTTCCAATTGGCAACTCAACTCACTTTCATCACCTACCCTCCCAACCAGAGGGTATATGTTGACTCCATTTTTAGACTTGCAAATGAAGGATACAGAGAAAACAAGGATGAAATTGTGAAAAAGTGAAAAAAGGCTATTTATTCCCATGAATATATTCCTTCCATCACAGATCATAAAATTCCATGATGAGGAATTCCAATTCTCATAGTATACATACAACGAAAAAAAATATGAATATCCTTCCTTCCTCACATTGTATCCACTGCACGTGAATAGCAAAAGATGACTGGTGGTGTTTTCAAGGAGGAGATTTGAATTACAATTTCTTTTTCTTTTTCTTTTCCTTTTCCTTTTCCTTTTCCTGTTACCATATACTAGGGGGAAAAAATGTAACGCCCTCAAAATTAACCCATTATATATCATTGACATGCATCATTTAAAGAAGACATTTTATTAATTCATTCATCAGAGTACTACTAAATAATCGAATAAAATGCCCTACAGGCTTACATCTTTCCAAGCCAACACTTGGATACAACTGTTACCATATACTAGGGGGAAAAAAAATAAAAAATGACAGGCAAATGGTAGTAACATTTTGAAATAACAAATCAAGATGTATTGGTTTGAAATGAATGAGTACCAGTTTTTCAAATTATTTTACATAGATTTTTTTATGGCCCTATTCTTATACCATGCCATTATTATGAGCTGCCATATATCACATACTCATGAGAATACTTCCAATCTATTTGGATCTAGAATTTTAGGAGAAATTCATAAAGACAAGGAAAATTTTGTGCGTATAAGTTAAATCTTTGATCCAATATTATCAAGAGTAATGACATAAAATAACTCAAGTTTCATAGCACATCCTTACTAACTAATTAATAATGCAACACCACCAAAGTGACCCAGTTTCCAGTATATCATAGAATTGACAACTCAAATTACCAAATCTTCCTACTGAGAACTCAAGAGGTCTGAACTTCCGGCAATAGCAAGAAAACAATAACCCGACCCACTGAACATAAGAAATTACAATAAAAATATAAGAAAAAGTGGATATGCAAGAGTAATATATCATGGGAACCTATTTTACCTCTCCACCATCATCTAGAACAAACACTTGCCCATGCTCAAAAGGGGACATTGTTTCCGCATCAGTGTTCAAGTAAGTATCTGAATGAAAGAGCAAATTGTGAGTAAGCAATAACTACTTGTTTTCTCAAATTGGGTTTTGTAATTTAACAAAAATGGAAGCACTAGTAACAAGACAGAACATTGTGAACATTTCACAATGGTAGTTGAAACAAAAGTAGACTTCTTTCAAAGACATTACAAACAAGAAGAAAACCAAGATTACCCAGCTAAGTTCTGTACATAAGTATCAGGAGATTCTAGGCATGCTCAAAAGTGCCTAAATTATTGAGAAAAGGAAAATAAAAGGAAGGGGAAAGGGGGGTGAAACCAATACCTTGGCAAACTGACCAAAGAAGGATTCCGCATCTTCAAGCTTGACATCATACTCTAGGGGTGATGCAGCAATTGTCCTGCTGTCTGATTATTCTATGACCTCATATGGCGGCAAAAGCTCAGTAGCCCTACCAATCTTCTTACGTAAAACGCACAAACAATATGTAATTCTGGCCAATATCAAAAGAAATAAAACCAGACACAAGCTACAATTCTTAATTTTCTTTTCCACATCTTCTCAGCAGCATCCAAACAGGGCAGAAATATAAAAATAATAAAAACTCACCATCTTCAGAAACCTTAAGAAAATTAGAATTCTCTGAAGTATCAGCCACAGCTTTCACGCTATGTTTGGTAACTTAGAAGAGAAAAGAAAATAAATGATTACTTAAGTAATAAGAGAAAAGAAAAGAAAAGAAATGATTGTAATTTCTCTCCTTTTTGTTTGGATAAGTAAGAAATAAAAGAAAAGAAATGATTGTGATTTCTCTCCTTCTTGTTTGGTTAGATTTCATTAAGAGAAAAGAAAAGAAATTATTTTATGTTATATTACCAAAATAACCTTTTTATATTTTCAATCATTTTATTTCTTTTATTTTTATAGGGGTAAAATTGGTATTATGAAAATATAAACATTTGTGGATTTCTTTTCTCTCCCAATCTCTCCACTTTTGGGAAGATTGAAAATAAGGGTTATGAGAGAAATGAGTTTCTCTCCATTTCTCTCTATTTCTTCCCATTTCTCTCCACTTAAGATAACCAAACAAGGAAGAGAAATACATTTCTCTCTATTTCTTTTCTTTTCTCTCCAAATCACTCAATCCAAACACAGTGTCACTGTATCATCTGAAACCTTTTGCGGCTTGGGGATTCCTAAATTAAGATGACTCCTCATACGGTGTGGAGCCGCAACCAGTCCAGAGGTAGAACGATCGCCAGAGAGAGAGAGGAGAGATCAAATTAGGTTTTGGTTTGGGCCAAAAAAAATCTAATATGAATCTGTGATGTGAGGAAATCGACGGTCCAGGTTGTCTGATAAATAAATAAATAAATAAAACATTTTGGTCATTTTATTGGTCATTTTACACTATCCGCAACCAAACAATTAATTTTATAAAATGTATTTACGTGTAGGTCTAATAAGTAGATTTATTGTTTAATAGGTCTTATGAAAAAAATTTGTTATAAAAAAAGTTACTAATTATAAATTTTAGAGACAATTTATAAAAATTATGACAAAAAAAGTCATTAATTGTCAATTTTTAAGGAGATATGCAAAAAATTGTCATAAAAAAATTATTTTTAGCAATAATTTTACCAAAATTTATTTTTAATAGGACTTTATGAAAATTAAGTCTAACTATTAGGACCTATTGGTAGTTCCCTCCAAAATTTGAAATGTCTCTCTTCAAATATTTTAATTTTTTGATAACTAAAATATTTTTTAGCTACTGAAAATAAATTTTTAACAACCAAATTTTTGGTCGCCAAAGATAAAAAGTAAATTTTTGTTTTTCATTCGGTGACTAAATAATTTTAGTAGCCAAAACTCACTATAGAACAACTAAAATATTTTTTAGTTGCTGAAAATAAATTTTTAGCGACCAAATTTTTGGTTGCCAAAGATAAAAATAAATAAATTTTTGTTCTTCATTCGGCATTTTTAGTCGCCAATTGTGACATTTTTAGCAACTAAATTTTTTTTAGTTGTCAATAATCAATATATCCCAATTGAAAAAACTTAGCAGCTAAATATTTGTACCAATTGAAAAAACTTAGCAGCTAAATATTATACTTTTGCCAACAAATATAATTTTTAGTCGCTAATTTCACAACTTTTGGCGCCTAAATTTTTTTTTGATCGCTAAATTTAATTACCAAAAATATAATTTATTGTAATGACTTGTCATATTTCAAAAATTAATCTTGAAATTGACATGTTACCAAAAATAGATAAGATAAGATATCAAATCCACACTAAAAACAACTTTTCTTCCTCTTGGATTCTAGCTCATTATTGCTGATAAAGGGTGCTCAATATTACAGCAATCAGAAACAACTTTTCTTCCTCTTGGATTCTAGCTCATTATTGCTGATAAAAAGAGAGCTCAATATTACTGTAATCATAAATTCAGAGAGTCAGTAGTGAAACCAGGAAATTAAGTTGGATGGGTATTATTAATTGTAATTTTTATTTAAAAAAAATCATGATCAACATTAAGATAATAATAATTTTATGAGTTAAATTTAACATAAAAAATTACATATTCATTATTAATAGGAACAAATTAAAATTCTATAATAGTATAGAATAGCTCGGTGCGGAATGGTGATTGTGGGGATATATTTTCTGAGTACCAACACGTGGCAAGGTGACGCCGACATGTCAGCCGAGGTGCCACGTGTCTTGGTCATTGTGCCGAGGTCATCTCGGCTAGGCCGAGGTTGCCTCCGAAGATATCGGAATCCGAGATAAGCTGATAAGGGACAAGAGTCCTAGAATGAAGAGGGAACTCAACTTGGATATGGACAAGAGTCCTAGATTGGGAGAAGACTTCAGTTTGGGTAAAGATAAGACTCTTAGAGAGTTTATCCTAATTTCACTGGGAGTCCCAGATTAGCAGTAATCCTAAGTCCATTTGGGCCAGGCTCCAATTGGGACTAGGATTGTATTGGCTATAAAAGAGAGGCACCCCCATGGGTTTAGTATGCTTTTGATACTCAAGGTTGTGAGTTTAGTACTTGATTTATCTTTGAGAGATATACTGACTTGATCGTCAGAGTGCCCTCGGGTGGTCGAAACCACCGCGGGATTCTTATATTTCTGTTGTAGGTCAGTCAGGTGCCATCTATTCTGCCAGTGCTCTCCAGCTGGTTACTAAGCGGGCAGTGTGGTCGGAAAATCACCCACACAATTTGGCGCCGTCTGTGGGAATGAAAGGAGAATAGATGGCCACCACTGTATAAGATCAAACGTGTCGGAAATGACTAGTTTAGCAAGGATGGAGAATATGTCGACATAATCGGAATGAAGACCCTTCCAGAAGGGATACAAAGACAGGGGGCATGAGCGCTCCCAAGAAAATAACATTCAAAGAGCACAACCTGAATGAGCAGATCCAAGATTCCAGAAGACATGATCTCAACCTAGATGAGTAGGCCCGAGAAAAAAAGAGCTCAACCTGAATGAGCAGATCCAAGATTCCAGAAGACAAGAGCTCGGCACTTAAACCCGAGAAGAGAAGAGCTCAGTGAGCAAATCTCAGATCCCAGAAGATAAAAAAGAAACACACAATTTGGCGCCGTCTGTGGGAATTTACAAGTCAAAGTTAAACCGATTCCTTATCTTCACTTGTTGAAATTTGTAGCACAAGATCGGACTGAAGTTAGCCAAGATGAAGACCTGTTGTAAAGACCACAAAGGAGTATGTGGAAGCTATGCACGGGCAGATCCCTTGCCTACAGAACCATATCAAAGGGATTCTGGTGACCCTACGGACAAAAAGATGCAGAGGCTTATAAAAAACATGAGAAAAGAAACGGCTTGCCAAAGCGAGGCCGAGGTAACAATGGATCCAGCAAGCAAGAGGCAGAGAGAAGAAGAATATGTTTAACACTTGTTGAAATTTGTAGCAATTTACAAGTTGGTTAAACCAATATGATGCTTAACCGAAGTTAAGCCGAGATAATGCTTAACCGAAGTTAAGCCCAGATGATGTTTAACCGAAGTTAAACCGAGACGATGCTTAACCGAAGTTAAGCCGAGATAATGCTTAAGCGAAGTTAAGCCTAGATGATGTTTAACCGAAGTTAAACCGAGACGATGCTTAACCGAAGTTAAGCCAAGATGATTCCTTATCTTCACTTGTTGAAATTTGTAGCAATTTACAAGTTGGAGTTAAGCTGATTCCTTATCTTCACTTGTTAAAATTTGTAGCAATTTACAAGTCGAAGTTAAGCCGAGATTATTCCTTATCTTCACTTGTTGAAATTTGTAGCAATTTATAAGTTGGAGTTAAGCTGATTCCTTATCTTCACTTGTTGAAATTTGTAGCAATTTACAAGTTGAAGTTAAGCCGAGATTACTGTTTCTCTTCGCTTGTTGAAATTTGTAGCAATTTACAAGCCGAAGTAAAGCCGAGGTTATTGGTTAAACACTTGTAGAAATTTACAAGTTGGTTGACCCGAAGAAGATCCTTAACACTTGTTGAAATTTGTAGCAATTTACAAGATGACGTTAAGCCGACATATGATCATCCGTTGAAATTTGCAGCAATTTACAGGTTGAAGTAAAAGCTAAGTATATTGTTTAAACACTTGTTGAAATTTGTAGCAATTTACAAGTAGATCATTATTTAACACTTGTTATAACTTAAGGAAAGTTTATAGGTTGAAATTAAAACAGTATGTGTTTTATATCTGTTAGAATTTATGCAAAGTTTACAGGACAAGTTATTGCCGAGGTAAATCATCAGTTTGTATACCCAAGGTATGTCACCTCGAGAAGGTTGCACAAAGAAGGAAGAGCATACTAAAAACACGCAAAATATTTTAAGTATAGAATCATGCAAAGGCAGTCAAGAAAAGACAAAGGCACAAGCATTCAGAGAAGGAAAGTTGCATTAGACATTCAAGAACAAGGAGGCACATCGGCCATATGCAGAGCTTACATTGTCTAAAAAAACAAAAAGGTACAAGAGTACAAACGACAAAAAAGGAAAAACTTCAAAAACTGAGGTGATGCTTAACCGAAGTTAAGCCGAGATGATGTTTAACCGAAGTTAAACTGAGGTGATGCTTAACCGAAGTTAAGCCGAGATGATATTTAACCGAAGTTAAACTGAGATGATGCTTAACCGACGTTAAGCCGAGATTATGTTTAACCAAAAGTTAAATGGAGATGATGCTTAAACCGAAGTTAAAACAAAATGATGTTTAACACTTGTTGAAATTTTGAGAGTGCACAAAGTTAAATGTCGGCAAAAGATTCGCCGGAGTCAAACGTCGTTTTGATTAGAACAGAACCACTAAGTGCACGCCAGAAGTGGTGACCAGAATTGTGAAAGGAATAAATGTCTCAAGAAACAGCGATGATAGTTTGCAAAGGCTAAGAGAAAGAGGGTCTAAAGGGGGTGCATTAAATACCAGAAGTTTTAATACATTAGTGAAAGCAGAACACATCAGGTCTGTGACTACGGCACGGAGCCAACTTCCCTAATGTGATCCTAAGTACAACTTACGTTCACATTAGGGGGCAAGGAGAAGGTGTAGGGGGGAAGGAATGATAATTAAGGAGCAAGGAATGTTAACACTTATTGAAATTTTTGAGCAAATTACAAGATGAGTTAACCGAAGGTTATGAAGTCTACCACTTGTTGAAATTTGTAGCAATTTACAAGTTTGGTATAGCCGAGATAACACTGAAAGACGTTTCCGAGATATGATCATCCAAGATGACCAACTAGCCTGTTAAGAGCTGAGAAGGTTGGCAAGTACAAAAATGAAGACCTTAAAGAACTAGGGACTGAAAGCAATAATGTCGGACTGATCTACTTCGACGGACGACGATGGTTCAGCCTCGGCAGTTAGTCGGAGAAGCTTCTCTACCGTTACCTCGGCATCAATTTCAAGAAAGAAGCAAACTACTCGGCATCAGCGGCAGGTTGTGTCTCACCCCCAGAAGGCAGTTGGAAAGAACTTCTCAGCAGCCTTCTCAGCCACGAGCTCAGCATCAATCTCCTGAAGAGTTTGATCAAAGCTTTTCTCAGCGATTGACACCTCGGCGTTTTGAAAACAAGGATTGAAAGCAAAACTCTGGGAAAAGACACAGAAAACAGAAACAAGAATGCAATTCGTAAATCAAAAATGGTGATGAAGCTATCAGGAAATCAAGAGAAAAAGACTAAGTAAGTATGTGAAGAACAAGAAAGTAATGACCCAAACATGATGCTAGCAACAGAAAGCGGATATAACAAGGACAGTGCCAGGCATTCAAACAATTCAAAACTTGAAGACAGACGAAAATAGAAGGCAACAGATGGCAAATAAACAGATTCAAAGTAAATCAGAAGAGTTATGAAAGATTGAGCTTAATAAAAAAGTAAGAGTTTATGAACCTACAAAGTGAAATGAACGCCGATATGAAAATCGCCGGAGTCAAATAGATGATTGGAAATTGGGAACTCACCAGAGAGTGTGAGTGGAGCAGTTGCAAAACTCTTGGAGTTTACGAATTAATGGAACCAAAATCTCAGCTAGGAGGTGCGATTTTAAGCAGCTTGGAAAGCATGAAACTTGATTCTTGACACCAGTGGACAGTAAAGTCCAGAGAACTTTGAGGTCGACGATTTTCATCTCGGACAGAGGGGCACAAATGAAAAATATAGTGGTAGATACGTAAAACTATCAAGTTTATAGTAAAGTATTGCGAGGATATATTTTCTGAGTACCAACACGTGGCAAGGTGACGCCGACGTGTCAGCCGAGGTGCCACGTGTCTTGGTCATTGTGCCGAGGTCATCTCGGCTAGGCCAAGGTTGCCTCCGAAGATATCGGAATTCGAGATAAGCGGATAAGGGACAAGAGTCCTAGAATGAAGAGGGAACTCAACTTGGATATGGACAAGAGTCCTAGATTGGGAAAAGACTTCAGTTTGGGTAAAGATAAGACTCTTAGAGAGTTTATCCTAATCCTACTGGGAGTCCCAGATTAGTAGTAATCCTAAGTCCATTAGGGCCAGGCTCTAATTGGGACTAGGATTGTATTGGCTATAAAAGAGAGGCACCCCCATGGGTCTAAGGTATGCTTTTGATACTCAAGCTTGTGAGTTTAGTACTTGATTTATCTTTGAGAGATATACTGACTTGATTGTCGGAGTGTCCCCGGGTGGTCGAAACCACCGCGGGATTCTTATATTTCTGTTGCAGGTCAGTCAAGTGCCATCTATTCTGCCAGTGCTCTCCAGCTGGTTATTAAGCGGGCAGTGTGGTCGGAAAATCACCAACACAGTGATGTAACTTTGCAATTTTAGCACAAAAAATTATGAATCAAAATTCCTAATTTTAGAAAATAAAAACTCATTCTTTATAGCACAAATTATCATAAAATCTATTTAATTTTTATTTGATAGAAAAATATTAAAGAGATGACATTGCTTATAAATGATGTATTTTGAATGAAAATTATTAAATAGTCTAGAATACCATATAGCATTGCTTACATGATGCTCAAAACATGAGAAATCAAAAATCACACTAAGTAGTTTGTCAACTGCCTAAAAATAATGGGTTCATTATATCCAATCTATAAAAATTTTCGCTACACTATTGGTTTAAACTACTATATAAATAATACTACATAGTGCTCTCAAAGTATCAAATAACTACTTGTTGTAAACAATACAATAAACCCTTAACCAAGAAACATATTAAGAAAAAAAAATACATTTTGTATATGAAAACAACACAAAATATATATATATATATATATATCAAAACTGAGGGGCCTTCTTTTCCTCTGCCACTGGAGAGAGCACCAACATCTAATTCATCAATAATAATGCATTATTATCCATTATTATCATCAACCTAGATCTTATGATTTTTTTTTTCCTCACCAAAATGAATCTTACGGTCTATGAAGTATGGACACTTCAAAATAGATGTCGTAGCTTTGTCAGACATGGGGACAAGCCGAGAACACGTACAGGACACACTAAATGGTGTGTCCTCTTAATTTTATTTTATTTTTGTAGGGGACATGGAAGGGACATGACAGGGATGCAACAGGGACACGCATGCCAAATGGCGTGTCCATTTATTTATTTATTTGTTTGTGCAAGAGACATGACGGGGACATGCATGTTCAAATATAGATAATCTATTAATTTGTCTAAATGTAGTGGTTTATATATATATATATATTGAATTGATGTTAGTTTTTATTAATTTTGATTATTTGGTAACATAGTACTAATTTAAATAGCAAATATATATATAATAAAAATAATTATAATTTGCTGTGTACCCCGATGTGTCTCCATTTTTTTTTAAAGCACCGCATCCGTATCTGTGTTTGTGCTTCAGACATAGCTTATGGTTTTTTTTTTTTAATCAATCTCTATAAATAGCAAGTGATCATAAAGCCACCATGCAGAATCGAGAAGGACACAAAAGTAATTCTAATTAGTGATTGAAGACATGGGATCATATTGTGCTTTCTTCACTTTCTTCTCATTGGTCCTGGTAAGGATAAGCATTCCCCCAGGGCAAAGTAGTATATAATATATAGGATGGACCAAAGGGACGCTTGGTAGCAACCAGCTTTCTAGGCTTCGAAAACCACCCATATTGTATTAGTATTAGTTAAAAATATTTTTCAATTATATAAGTCCATCCCTGAGATTAGAATCATGTGTCTGTGTACAAATCCATTATAGAATATCACAATTTTAAAATTGAAATTTTCAAAACTATAAAATTTCACAGTTTGAATAGTGTGAAATTTCACTTTTTGGGTTTGAAGGGTTGGTTTTGTTGAATAATTGTGCATTAATCTGAATATAAACCTCCAAACCCATAGGGGTTTAAGAATTATCAACACTATATAATCTTATATATTTTAGCCCCTTTGAAATCTAAATAATTTGAACTTCGCATCCCAAACTTCATAAAGATCTCATTAGGCCTGATACAATTTTGAGTATTGATAAAAAAAAATTAGCATTTTGATTACAAAATTCAAATAAGTTGTAACTCTTTGTGTGTCTCTTTATTGAGCAGCCATTTGCTAGCAGTGTTGATGCAAGAACAGACCAAAGAGAATACTGGCAAGTCATCATGAAAGATCAGCCCATGCCGGAAGCAATTGAAGGCCTCATCAGCCACCAAGGCTTGGTGTCGTCACCTCTCTCCGACAAGAAAATCGACTGTCACACGACAACAGAAGTAGTAGCAAACAACAATCAACTTGTCAATGATTCTGCAGAGAAGAAGGCTTTCGTGAAAGGCTTTGAGCCAAGGCTAAGCCATGACAATGAAGTTAATCTGAAAGGCAAGTCATTTGTTAGTACTTATGAACATTGAAGGACAATCACAAGCATGCATAGGAACGTAGAAGTGGATTATGTGACATATATCTATATATATGGTTGAATCTAAATAATTAAGAAGCAAATGTTGTATGTTTGCGTGGTGTACTGGTTTGTAGTTGTAGTGGTTAACAAATCTTTAACAAATGACAGGCCTTTCAGATCCACTTCATTGTCATGGTATAGCCTTGGCTCAAAGTCTTTTACGAAAGCCTTCTTCTCTGCAGAATCATTGACAAGTTGATTATTGTTTGCTGCTGCTTCTGTTGTCGTGTGACAGTCGATTTTCTTGTCAGAGAGAGGTGACGACACCGAGCCCCGGTGGATGATGAGGCCTTCAATTGCTTCCGGCATGGGCTGATCTTTCATGATGACTTGCCAGTATTCTCCTTGGTCTGTTCTTGAATCAACACTGCTAGCAACAAGCTGCTGAATAAAGAGACACACAAAGAGTTACAACTTATTTGATTTTTGTGATAAAAATGCTATTTTATTTTATAAATACTCAAAATTGTATCAGGCCTAATGAGATCTTTATGAAGTTTGGGATGCCAAGTTAAAATTATTTAGATTTCGAAGGGGCTAAAATATATAAGATTACATAGTGTTGATAGTTCTTAAACCCCTTGGGGTTTAGAGGTTTATATCCAGATTAATGCACAATTATACAACAAAACCAACCCCTCAAACCCAAAAGTGAAATTTCACACTTTTCAAACTGTGAAATTTTATAGTTTTTAAAGTTTCAGTTTTAAAATTGGGAAATTCTATAATGGATTTGTACGCAGACACATGATTCTAATCTTAGGGATGGACTTATATAATTGAAAAATATTTTTAACTAATACTAATACAATAAGGGTGGTTTTCAAAAACTAGAAAGCTGGTTGCTTCCAAGCGTCGTCCATCCTATATATTATGTACTACTTTGCCCTGAGGGAATGCTTATCCTTACCAGGACCAATGAGAAGAGAGTGAATGTAACGCCCTCAAAATAATAACAATAAACCCATCAGATAAGACATGCATTTACATTTAAACTAACCGCATTCCTTTCATTCATTAGAATTCCAAGACATAAGTATTACATGTTAGCCTCATAACAAAATGCCCTACGGGCTTACAGCTTTCCAAGTTTATAGAGATTGATTAAGAATTATTAAAAAAAAAAAAAACTATAAGCTATGTGTGAAGCACAAACACAGATACGGATACGGTGATTTCAAAAAAAATGGAGACACATCGAGGGACACGACGAATTATAATTATTTTTATTATATATATTTGCTATGTAGATTAATATTATGTTACCAAATAATCAAAATTAATAAAAACTAACATCAATTCAATATATATAAACCATTGCATTTAAACAAATTAATAGATTATCTATGTTTGAACATGCATATCCCCGTCATGTCTCTTGTACAAACAAATAAATAAATAAATAAATGGACACGCCATTTGGCATGCGTGTCCCTGTTGTATCCTTGTCGTGTCCCTTCTGTATCCCATACCAAAAAAAAAATTAAGGGGACTCACCATTCAGTGTGTCCCGTACGTGTCCCCAGCATGATCCCATGTCCGGGAATGCTATGACGCCTATTTTGAAGTGTCCATACTTTATAGACCGCAAAATTCATTTTGGTGAGAAAAAAAAATTCATAAGATGGTTGATGATAATAATGGATAATAATGCATTGCTATTGATGAATTAGTTGTCGGTGCTCTCTCTAGTGGCGAAGGGAAAGAAGGCCTAGGGGGGTCACCTTGTCCCCCTTAGTTTTGATTTTTTTTTTTTGGTCATATACAAAACGTTTTTTTTTTCTTAATATGTTTTTTGGTTAAGGGTTTATTGTATTGTTCACAACAAGTAGTTATTTGATACTTCGAGAGCACTATGTAGTATTATTTATGTAATAGTTTAAACCAATAGTATAACAAAAAATCTTTTAGATTGGATATAATGAACTCATTATTTTCAGGCATCTGACAGACTACTTAGTATGATTTGTGATTTTCTATGCTTTGAGCATCACGTAGGCAATGCTATATGGTATTCTAGATTATTTAATAATTTTCATTCAAAACACATCATTTATCAGCAATGTCATCACTTTAATATTTTTCTGTCAAATAAAAATTAAATAGATTTTATAATAATTTGTGTTATAAAGGATGTGTTTTTATTTTCTAAAATTAGGAATTTTGATGCATAATTTTTTGTGCTAAAATTGCAAAGTTACATCACCATTCCGAACCGAGCTATTCTACACTATTATAGAATTTTAATTTGTTCCTATTAATAATGAATATGTAATTTTTTATGCTTAAATTGAACTCATAAAATTATTATTATCTTAATGTTGATTATGATTTTTTTTAAATAAAAATTATAATTAATAATGCCCCCTTCAACTTGATTTCCTGATTCTGCCACTGGCTCTCTATGTTTATGATTACTGGAATATTGAGCTCTCTTTATTAGCAATAATGACCTAGAATCCGATAGGAAGAAAAGTTGTTTTAGCGTGGATTCGATATCTTTTCTTATCTATTTTTGGTACCATGTTGATCTCAAGATTAATTGAAAAGTTGTTTTAGTGTGGATTCGATATCTTATCTATTTTTGGTAACATGTCGATTTCAAGATTAATTGAAAAGTTGTTTTAGTGTGGATTCGATATCTTATCTTGTCTATTTTTGGTAACATGTCGATTTCAAGATTAATTTTTGGAGTATGACAAGAGTCACTATAACAAATTTCATTTTTGGTGATTAAATTTAGCGATTAAAAAAATTTAGTCGCCAAAAGTTGTGAAATTGCCACCAAAAATTATATTTGTCGGCAAAAGTACAATATTTAGCTACTAAGTTTTTTCAATCAGGATATATTGATTATTGGCGACTAAAAAAAAATTTAGTTGCTGAAAATGTCACAATTGGCAACTAAAAATGCCGAATGAAATTTTTTTATTTTATTTTCAGCGACTAAAATATATTTTTTAGTCACTATATAGTTAGTTTTGGCTACTAAAATTATTTATTCGCCGAATGAAAAACAAAAATTTATTTTTTTATCTTTGGTCACCAAAAATTTATTTTCAAATATTATAGTTGCTATATAGTTAGTTTTGGCTACTAAAATTATTTAATCGCCGAATGAAAAACAAAAAATTACTTTTTATCTTTTGGTTGCCAAAAATTTATTTTCTGCAACTAAAAAATATTTTAATTGCTAAAAAACTAAAATATTTTGAGGGAAACCTTTCAAATTTTGGAGGGATTTATAAAATTAATTGTTTGGTTGTGAATTGTGTAAAATGACTAATAAAATGACCAAAATGTTTTTATTTATTTATTTATTAAACAACCTGGACCGTCGATCTCCTCACATCATAGATTTACATTAGGTTTTTTTGCCCCAAACCAAAAATCTCTCAGCAGCATCCTCTCTCTTCCCACCCTTCAACTGTCTTCTGGATCGTTCTTTGATCTCTTCTCTCTCTCTCTCTCTGGCGATCGTTCTTTCCTCTCTTCTTCGGTAACACCTCTGTACTGGTTGCGGCTCCACACCGTATGAGGAGTCATCTCAATTTAGAAATCTCCAAGCCAGAAGAGGTTCCAGATGATACAATGAATGTTGTGGCTAATACTTTAAAGAATTCTAATTTTTTGAAGGTTTCTGAAGATGGTTTTTTATTTTATTTTATTTTATACTTCTGCCCTGTTGGATGCTGCTGAGAAGATGTAGAAAAGAAAATTAAGAATTGTAGCTTGTGTCTGGTTTTATTTCTTTTGATATTGGGCAGAATTACATATTGTTTATGCGTTTTAGGTAAGAAGATTGGTAGGGCTACTGAGCTTTTGCCGCCATATGAGGTCATAATAATCCGACAGTAGGACAATTGCTGTATCACCCCTAAAGTATGATGTCAAGCTTGAAGATGTGGAATCCTTCTTTGGTCAGTTTGCCAAGGCATTGGTTTCACCCCCTTTCCCCTTCCTTTTCTTTTCTTTTTCTCAATAATTTAGGTACTTTTGAGCATGCCTATCCTTTTGTAGAATCTCCTAATACTTATGTACAGAACTTAGCTGGGTAACCTAGGTTTTCTTCTTGATTGTAATGTCTTTGAAAGAAGCCTACTTTTGTTTCAACTACCCTTGTGAAATGTTCGCAATGTATATGTAGTCATTTTCTGAAAAACTGTTTTTGATTTTTATTTTTGTTGAAAACAACTCAATTTTTAGGGACAGACATTTTGCACACAAAAAAAAAGAAGTAATGGATGCTTTTGAACTTTTTATGTTAACGAAAACATAAGAACTACTCACTTTTAATTTTTTTTAAAAATATTTTTAGATGTCTTTTGAAATCGTCACTAAATATTATGTTGTGTTTTAGACCTCAATTTGGAACCTGCAATTCCCCTAATTGTTGGCAGATGAGGATGACTGGTTCATATTCTTCTTTTTATAAGTTTTCAGAAAATGGTCGAGCCTCGAAGTAAGTTGTCATTTGAAGATTAAAAGAACCAACTCAACAATTTCAAAAAGACAGATGAAAACCAATTAGGGGAATTGCATGTGATCATGAAAAAGAAAAATACTGAAAATAGGAAATATGATTTGCGCATGTAAGTTGCTCTACCTGTCACATTGTTGCTGCAAAGTATTCCCTCATGACTGGTTTGAAGATTAATTTCCCAACAAAATCAATCTGATTATTGAACTAAATGTAAGTTAAAAATGATGTTTTGATGGTATCGGACTTCACTTTTCACATGCGTGTAGACAAAATTAAATGGTTATATAGTCACCCATTTGAGTTGAATATTTCTATATCTAGGCAGAACCATCACTATAGGAAATTGCACTTTTGCCAATCAAAAATTTAGTCAGCAAAAGTCCATTTTTAGTCGGCAAAAATTTGCTGCGACTAAATTTTTTGGTCGCCACTTTGGCGCCAATGGAGGGTTGGGAAAAGTAAGTAGCAACTAAAAATTTTTTTAGTCAGGAAAAAGTTTCTATTTGCCGACCAAATTTTTGGTAGCTAAATAAATATTTACTGTGACTAAACCATTTTGTAGCTAAAACAGTTTAGTCAAAAGTGATATTTTTCCAACTAAATATGTTAGTTACCAATTGTCACATTTCATAACGAAATATGTTAGTCGCCAATTGTTACATTCTACAACGTAACATGTTAGTTGCCAAAAGTCACATGCCACGACCAAACATGTTAGTCGCCAAAAGTAATGTTTGCACAACCATTACTTTAGTTGGCAATAGACCTATTAGCAACCAAACCCTTTGGTTGTCAAAATTAATAATTTTACCGACTAATTATTTAGTCGACAAATGTACCCTCTCGCCGACCAACGTTTTGGTTGCCAAATGTGAGTGGTGATACACCGACTACCTTATTTAGTCGGCAAATTGTTTATTGATGTTTCCCGACTAATCACTTGGTCGCCAAAAGAGGAAAAACAAAACCAAAATTTAGTCGCCAACATCTAACAAAATCAACCTGTAATTTATAATAATCCATCTAATCCATTCAATATAATATGTAATTTGCAATAATCATTCAAACCAACAAAATCAATTGGATCATGGACATTCAATAAAATACATAAATTATTCAATCTTGAACTTATTTAATTAAAATCATCAACTTTTATAATTTTTCGTCTACAAGTAATTCCAAACTAGATATTCCTCCAATTAAAAATTCACTTGTAATCTATGTAATCATCCAAGTCACATCCATCTAGCATAAAAATTTAAAATCACATGTACTTGTTATTATGTTTTAAATTTTTATCCTTGCAAATCTATCGAAAAATATAACTAGTAGTCTATCTAAATATTGTCCATACACATCCATCCAAAAATATAACTACTAGTCTACCAAAATATTTCTATACATATCTATCCAAAAATATATAATTCTTCAAAAAAAATGTAACAAGTGCCA